TTAATTGTCCTTTCTTGACATTACCTGCTTACATCTGTCTCCCTCTACTAAGCACAAGGTCTTCTAAAGCAGGAACTATACTTGACTCATTATCTTTGTGTCTTGGCACAGTCCTTGAAAGTTGATTGATTTCAGTATTTATCTATTTCCATGGATTAAACATCTGGGTCTCCCCAAAGTTCATGTATTTAAATCCTAACAGCAAGATGATGATACTTGTAGTTGGGCCTTTTGGGAAAGCACTAGATTGCCGCAGTCTGGCTGGCACAAAATAACTGGGAGGTCACGAGCCACTTGTAGGTTCAAACAGGAACCCAACGGGAACTCTCCAGAACTCCATGGAAACTCCACGAGAACCAACGGAAACTCAACGGGAACTCCATGAGAACTCAAAAGTAGCGGGTACCCGAGGTAGCAGGAGCCGCCTTATTGCTGAACAGCAGAGGTTTATATACACAACTGAATACACAGCTTGTTTCAATTTAGCATCATCCAATTACAGCAATCAGTCATTATCTTAATAATTATACACAGCTTAACTTAATTATCATCATCTTAATGGCTCGCTGGCGTTACTTCTCAACCACTCCTTCTGGCAAAATGCCAGGCACCATCTTGACTTGGTTGTGGCTCTCAACACTAGATCATGGGGGTGAAGCCCTCATGATAGGATTAGTGCCCTCATAAAAGAGAACCCTGAGAGCCCTCTGACCCTCTTTCACCAAGTGAGGATCTAATAGGAAGGTGGCAGCTACAAACAGGAGGAAGTCCTCACTAGGTCCTTTCTATGCTGCACCCTGATCTCAAACTTGCAGCCTCCATAACTATGGGAAATACATTTGTGTTTTATAATCCAACCAATCCATGATACATTGTCATAACAACCTGATATAAAGCACTGTTGATCTAAATGCCATCAGATTTTAGAGATCCAAGAGATTAGCTCATTCACTCAATTCCAGACTTTCTTACTGAGTGCAATATTTTAAAGCCAATGACTGTTCCAGGTGCTGGGGAAATACTGAATTAGATCAGACTTTGTCCTCATGGGTTCACATTTTAACAAAGGCATGTTGACAGTGTCACATGAACAACAAAGGCAATAAACAAAGGAATGACTGAGGCTGAGTGGGTAGTGATCCTTACTTTAGCAAATATAAGCAAAGTTGGGCAAACCTTAGAATTATTTTTTTTTCCTAAGAGTGACTTTTCACATGGGAAATATAGAGATATGCAGGCTCTTGTATTAATTTACAATTGTATTCATAAACTGTTTATAGGATACATTAGATAAACATTAGTAATGACTATAGCAAGTAACTATTATCATAAATGCTGTTTGGCTTATGCACGTCATTTCCCTTGTTCTTATGAAACATGCAACAGAGGTCTTATGATCTCTACATTAAAGGCTAAGAAACAGACATAACAGATCAATGGCTTATCTCAGGACACATAGCCTATGATAAAACTGCTATTTCTACCCAAGTCTTTGGTTTTAAACTAAATATTCTTTTCATTGTATTATGATGCCTCCCTCAAAGGTTTTTTCTATCCAGTTCTTTCTAGAAAAGATTCCAACCTATTTCTCTTAGCCTTGCTGAGGCCCATATGTAATATTTCCCTCATATTAGATAACTGAGGTGGGGGGGGGGTCTTGAAAAGTTCAACTATTGCCACAACAAGATGTTATTCAGTCATCTCAGGAGAGTTAAGTGGTCAGTCGGGCCTAAGAGGATTTATCTAATAAAAAAATATTTATTAATTTATAAACATGTTATTTCACTCAGCAAATATTTATTGAAGCCTGCTAAGTACCAGGAACCATTTTGGGAACTAAGGACATAACAAGAACAAAAATAAGACAGTTAAAATAAAACAGGAAAACATGAAGACAAACCAGATGGTGACTTTGTGGTATTCCAGGGGACATGAATCTGTTGTAGTGAGGGTGTGCAGAGAACCACAATAGTTTGATGACAACTTGGACACTGTTGTAGTTAATATGTGCGTACATGGGTCAAATCCATGGTTATTTTAGTTCCATTGCGGAGTAAAGTAGCTACAGTTCCAAAGATAAAACCTATTCACACTACAGACAAATGAAACAGAATAAAACAGAAATCCCATTCTTTCACCATGTCCCCAACTTGATGGACATGACACTTAAAAGCACTCAGTTCATCCCAGGGCAATGTACAGACACACAGCAAGAGAGGCTAGAAAATGGCAGAAAGAGAGATAGGGAAAGGGAGACAGCGTTGTACAACGACAGGAGAGGCTGTCCTGAGTTAAATAGTCCAGGTGGGAAAGTGGGCTTGATCCAGGAGCTAAATCCCAACACAACTGGAAGCCCTATCTGTCAATTAATTTGTCAAAGATAAATATTAAGAATAAGAGAATTTTCCAGACTTGCTCACAGACGAATGAATTGTAATGATAAAATGGAAAAAAATAATATGCCAGCACTTCATTTGGCTTCAAGTAATGCTCAAGCACTCAGGCAAAAGAAGATTCTCCCCTCCCCCATCCCTCACCAAGACAGCCATGCTGCTAATGTAAAGCAGAGATCTGCGGGACTTGAAGTTCTCATTTTTTGCCTATGTTTCCTTCAATATTTTGAATACTCCTTTTTCTAACTTGCATTGAATTCAAATGCAGACGTGTGCTGTTAGCTAAAAGGTGGGAATTTTTCAAATTACTAATTAAGGTCGATTTCTATTATGGACACTGATTTTCAGAAAAGGCTTTAACTTTTGAGCTATTAAATGACACTTCTGACAGACTTTTTAAAAATAATTTTTAGTTGTTGGTGGACCCTTTATTTTATTTATTTATATGCCGTTCTGAGAATGGAACCCAGTGCCTCCCACATGCTAGGCAAGCGCTCTACCATGGAGCCGTAATCCCAGCCCCTCTGACAGAATTTTGTAGCTTCCTGCTCTCAGCCTAAGCTCTCTGTGTGTGTGTGTGTGTGTGTGTGTAGATTTTATTTCCTCTAGGTTCCACAGGGATAAAGCTATCAGACACATCTTGTGTTTTTCTGAGTCTTGTTTCAAAATGTTCAGAGGCATCCTTCCTGATGAATTGATAAAAGATTTGGGATTGGGACATGGATCATTTACTTCAAAACATAAAATTGAGGGATGATTCAATGTTACTGTATAGTGGGGAATTCAGCCTTCCAAGTTATCCAAAATCCCCTCCAGGAAAATGCCCAGCTCAGTGCTGCTGCACTCTCCCGTGAACGAGCCTCACGTGGCCCCCATGTTTCATTCACTCTGAGCCCCGTCCTCTGCAATGGGACTGTAGCAACCATTTTTTTTTTTTTTTCCTGGTGAAAGTGCAATTCCAAGGTAGTGTGATTTAACAGTGTTTAAGAACCTTTCAGGGTTTGTTAGACATTGAGTAGTTTATACCTTTATTCTATTGAAATAGGAGTAAATCCCAGGGAAGATGCGCTCTATGCCTACCATAATTTTTTCAGAAATGACAGTGGAGTCCCTGAAGCCAGCAGAAGCTGAGAAAGGAAAGCAGTCTTTGGATTCTCCTCTTAATTCGTCCTTCAGATGGAGAACAATACAAAGCTATAATTGGATTTCTCCCTCCTTTGTCATTCTCTCCTTTCCACCCCTTCCTCTAAAATCACACATGGTTTATTGCAACAAGGCTCAGCTCAAATGTCACTTCCTCTCTAAAACTGACTCCCACCTAAAATTTATCTGTTTCCTCCACTCAATCAGAGCATTTAGTCTGTGGCACCGAACACATGGTGTCTTACGCTGTAATTATTCACTTACTGATCTCATCTCTCTTCCTAGATTATAATGTTTTCCACCATGGAGACCATGGCTTGTGAAGAACCATCCAGTTTTGTTACAGCACATTAAATAAGCACATCAGTGCTTATTTGATAAATTAGGCCATCCAGTAATTCCTGAGTGTGTACCTCCTGTGTGCTAAACAAACCAGACACAATTCCTGTCCTGACCTGGCTCACAGTTCAGTGGCAGGAATGAGCCCATGTACAGTGTCACCTCATATATATCTGCTATTCGACAAACTTCAAATACCCATAATAAGAATAAACCATATGCCCTGAGAGGAAGCTCATAAGATGTCACAAGGGATCTTTATCTATAAGAAGGAACACTGTTAGCTTTTCAAGGAATTTCCCTGGGGAAATGGTATAGATATCTTAGGCCATCAGGCTTAGCTTAGATTAAACAAAATGTACAGTGTACCACTCTGATGACACAGTCTTCTGAAAGAACTCTACCAAATCAAGTCTGATTCTTTTTGCCTCCACATTGACCTTAGAGATTGAACTTACACTTGACTGAAGCTCCTTTGCTCTCAGACAGAGGTCTCAACACATCAGCTACAACGGTAATAAATGAGTAATGGCAAAGCCTCACTGCTTTCTCACAGCTATTGCTATGAGCTTTCAGGAAAGAAAAGAAAAGACAGAAAAGCCAGTTTTTTGAGCCTTAATGTTACATTCTGAGAATTTTCCTTCATCTCAAATAATGAGACGCTTGGGAATGCCAGACTTGGGGAAGGTAAAATAATGCATATGTTATAATTTGGGGAAAGCACACAGCCACAAATTGAACCACTTTTAGCTACAGAATCTCTACCTGCCAAGTGAAAAGCACAAAATCAAACTTCACACATGTCTAGTTCCTTGTGATTTCACAGACCTTTCATCTGTGTTACTGCATTTAACGTATAAGGCACAACCACTTATGGGATAAGATTCTCTGTTAGTTAGATGAGGAAACAGAGCCACAAAGTATTCAAGTGGCAAACCCAAAGTCATCCAAGCAGTTTAAGCCAGGATAGAAGGCAGGACCCCTGCTTCCCAGTCCAGTGTCTTTTCTGCCTCAACCTCTCATCTCATAGAAGATTAGATGACAGGTGCAGTCATTGATCTAGAAATCTCATTCATTCTTAAACAGTTGCACAGCACATAATAAATAGAGTTGTGTGGATTTTACCTCCTTAAGGCAGCCCATGAAGTTGTTGCTCACAGGTGAGCCCGGCAAGTCAGCGGTACTTGGGCTTCCTCCCACGTAGAAGAAATCATCTGAGCCCAGCATAGTGTAGTCTTCCTGCGTATAGCCCGTCGTGGTAAGAATGCCATCCACAGAGATTGTCACCTGGTGGTAGGACATAGGGACAAAAAAAAAAAAAAATCCCAGCAATGACCTTACAGTCCTATCAAAACCTAATGGCTTCCCCTATTTGTGGCATCACTTTTATTAAGATTTTTAGTAAGGTATTCGTTCTAATTTGGTTTGATTTTGGGTATGTGCAGCTAAGTTCCATTTTCTGGTCTGCCTCCCTCTGTCCCAAGCCTACAGTATTCCCCTGCAGACGCATGGGAGATGGGCTACAATTGCCAAGCGGAGCACCTTGTTCTACCCATTGCACACTTTATTCAGGCTAGAAAATGGAACCATCCTCAGACGATATCACTTGTCTCAGTTTCATTACTAATGATCTTTATTTTTTTTTAAGATGATTGTTATTCATGGTGGTAATGGAAAACAGCAAAGGAGACATTAGACAATGAGGTTTGTTAGGGGTTGGTCTTTGGTTGTGGATTTTTTTTTTTCCTTTTTTCTTTTCTTTTTTATTTGTTTCTTTTTTGGCTCACACCACACTGACAAACATGCATTCAGAAAGGGGCAAAAAAAGAGGGTCTCTGTTTTGATGTGTCAGGGATGATGCATGCCATGGAGTACCCCAGGATAACCAACCCCTGCCCTCCCTCCTCTGCCATCACCACCACCAACAGAAGAAATGACCCAAACCAAAAAGCCAACTCTAACAAAAAGAAAGGAATGGTGAGGCATGATAACCAAAATAATAATGCCCATGGGGAAAATATAGCACCCACACACCCAACATCCACGAAAGGAGCAGAGGGCAGAGAAAGATGGCACCCAAAGCGTTTATACACCATACGCTGCCACACCCATGCGGAAATTATCTGGAGCCAAGAGAGAAGGCAGAAAAACAAAAGTAGGGATGTGGGAAAGGGTGGAGAGAAATAAAGGAATTAAAATCCACTTCACACTTGCATGCACTGAACAAACAGAAAAAAAAAAAAAACAAGATGAAGTGGGGGCGGGGGGAGAAAACACTGAAAACTAAAGGGAAATCATCTTTCCCCTGCCTGCCACCTCCCTCACTTAAAAAAAAGAAAGAAAGAAAGAAAAGGAAGAAAAAAAGAAAAGAAAAAGTCCAAACCCAACCCCAAAATATATGAAGAATGAGAGAATGAAAATAGGGAGGGAAGAAAAGAGAAGCAAGTGGCATGAGGCTGATGGTCAGTAGGTTGTTAGTAATGAGGAGGAAAATGAGAAACAAATTCTGTTGCCGATGGGATTCCACGAGACAGGACCATGCCATGCAGAGTTTGTATGGAGAACACAACTGGCAGAGCTCCCTTTGGCCACAGTGGGGAACAGGTAAGAGAAGGGAAAGGAAGAGTCTAGGAGGCAGAGTACTTTCCTCCCCAGATCACCTGTGGTGGCCATGGCCACACAAAAGGGCAAGAGAGAAGGGATTAAGGAGTGGGGAGGAGAAAAAAAGGAAGGAGGAAGAGAGGGAGAGGAAGACATGGAGAGCAGAAAAGTTCTCACTAGAAATCTCAGTTGTCCCTCGTCCATAACTTGGAAGTTGCAAAATAAGAAAACAAAATAAAAATTTAACTGAATGGAGAAATTCTTTACCAAAAAATAAATAAATAAATAAATAAAAATAAAAAAATACTTCTAGGGGAAAAAAAAAAAAAAAACCTAAAAAGTGGAGGAAGGGAAAAACAGTCCCCACCAAATTCCATCAAATAGCATTTCCAAGATAGGGGTGTCCCCTTCCATTATTATTTTTTTTTAAGAAAAAGAAAGGCTTGCATTTAATTTAACAAAACAAAATTTTTAAAAAAAAGAAGAAATAAGTCTAAAGAGGATAAAAGAGGGGTTTGGGGAGGAAAAGGGGGGCAACACACGGCAAACCCAAAAAAAGAGACAATAAGAATGATATCTACCAGACAATGTAGTTTGTTTACCATAGCGTGTCCGATGCCTGAGTGCTTTGCGGAGAAGGGGGAAGAAAGGAAATTAAAAATTGTGAACAGAACGATTGTTAATTAAAAAAACTAAAAACAAAGATGAGTCGTTAGGGTGTTAGTACATTAGTCGGTTAGTAAATGACACATTGCATGAATGATCTTGTGTTAGTTTTTCAAAAAAAAGGCACCCAACACAGAAAGAGAGAGTGGGGGAGACAATGAGACCAGGACTCTATGGAAAACCTTGCCACCCGGTCACAGCCAGGAAGGGAGCTATGGTTCACCAGCCATAGCAACTGCCCAGATACCACTTGGCCCACACCCCACCCCTGTTAGAGTTAGCTTCATACTTACGTCCCAACGGCTCTTCTGAATACCACCTATGGTCCCTGCCCACCCTCTAGTGTGTGTATGAAGAATCTAGGTAAACTTTGATTCTTCATACACACACACCTGGTCTGAAGAATCAAAGTTTACCAAAAAAGCTTATCATTCCATTGGTAGATAAACAGAGAGAAAGAACTGAATACCAATATATTGGTGTTTGGTTTTTGCTTCTTCACATGAATCTGATTACGTGGATGGACTACAGGATGACATTCTCCTACAAGTAATTTAAACATTCACAGACCTAACCTAGCAGAGAAAGCTCCTTGGCACGGCATATACTAGGTTCTCCAGGTAACTTAAAGATCCATGGCCCCCTTGCTTTTTGTGGGTTTAAGCAGCTGGAGGGGAATGTTCTCCTTTTTCCTTTACTCTCAGTTTCAGATAACCGTCATTAGAACGCATCAGAAATGTTAGTCTTGTTTATTATCCAGTGAGGGCATCATCTTGTTTACTTTATAGGATGCTATCCTGTTGGAATCACTATCCCTTATTTCCCCTGAATACATGAATACACCTTTTCATGTTGTTAAGCAGTTTCTTGCATGGAGAGCAGGGAGTAAGGCAGGTTCAATATGGTTAGAGAACCCACAATTAGACTCTTTTTGCTCATTTCAATTGCTAAGTTGCCAGCACACCCTGAGCTCAGAGGTTAGAAGGATGGCAGACTGTAACCCTGATTCTGTATTCAAGGTGTAACAAAAGTGGCCCCCAGAGGTAAAATGATTAATGGTGTGGGTGTGACCTTGGACTCAGGCAAGTTAGAGGGTAAACCCTCTTCTATGTGCACATGAATGTCCCAGTAGCTCAGTCTGTAGTTCCAGTTTCAATTTAGAGAACAGATGGGAACACTCCACATTCCTTTTTTCAATAGGAAGCCCCAATAAAGTACCTGGTTTGGCTCTGAGTTGCCTTAATGGCAGAACCATGAATTGATGTCCACAAAGGAAGAAATGAGAAGATTCTTCCCTGTTTGGTAATGAATACTTCAAAAAACTCCATGTAAATTTTCCTCATATAAATTTTTGCCTTAGAAGCCATTTGCTCTTACTTCTAAAAGTGCATGAGGCTACCATAAGCTTGTTATCAAATATTTATGAAGCTATTTACAATCTATTCGAAATAGACTGGGACTTCCCACTCAATTGTGTCCTAAAGAACTCAAAAAAGATATTATAAATATTTTTTAATAGGAAAAATAATAATCTTATATTACTCAGCCCTGGAAGGATTTTATTTGCAAGATCAACTCTGTTTTTCAGAGATTTTCCTTTCTTTCCACAAATTGTATTTGGATGCAAAACACAATCAGGATTTCAACAAGGTCCAATTTTAGGGGTATTTTTTCACATAAGAGTACTAGTCTCTCTGTCAAGAATTACCCCAGAACCTCAGGACCTCTTAGACCTTGTCCAAAACGAAAAGCTCTATTAACTGTATTCTTGGCACCAGAGAGAAGCAGTCACCTCTGAGACAGAATGCTCAGCCTGTAAATCATCCACACGTCACCACGAGTCTAGCACCCAGCCCATGGATGAGCTCATAATCCTTCTGGAACATAAGGTGCTTTGCATATTTAGCCACCACACATGGCTGGGGAGCATTGCAATCAGCATTTTACAAATGGAAACTGTGCTGCAGGGAGGTTAAGTGGCTTGTCCAAGGGCACAGAGAGGAGATGAGCCTTAGACGTTGGAGCAGAGCACAAACCTTCCAGGGTGGTTTCCTCAGATTGCTCTAAGACATCACAACCAATATTTGAATTAAACTCTGATTTATCCCCTCTGGTTTAAAGGATTTAATTGGGGACTGATGCTATTTAGAACCGTGATTTTTAGCAGAAACAAAACTGAGCCTTTCTCAGGCAGACTGGAATTATTCTAGAATAGCTGGGAAGTGTGTGGAGAGAGACAAATGACTTGGCGAGAACTGTGACCTGATACCGTTCCCAGTATATCAAAAGTTTCCCCTCCACTAATGACTAAAGGGTGTTATTCTGTACCTGCCAATCAAAACTGGCAAAAGGTCATATTTCATTTTTGGTCTATTCTCTACAGCTCAGACATATTAAGTCCTTCTATGTCAGCAAATAGAAATTTGACTTATGTTCTCTTGACAGTTGAGAAGTTCTCTTCTGGGTAACTATGGAGACAGTCATGGAGGAAAACATCAGCAATAGGTTCTTTGGCCGTGGAAGGAAAACACAGGAGAATGACTCCAAAGAGTCAAATTCACATATATTAAGAGGGTTGGGGATTCCAAGCCTTGCATTAATTAGCATCTTCACCACAGATAGAATGGAATCTCCCAACTAGGTGGCTTCCTTGACACACCTAAACATGGAAATGGAGAGTATTTTGACAATGGTGCTTTTCCAATGTGTGCCAGCCTCCACCATTTGTTTAGCATTACTTGGGAGTCACGCTTTTATCAGACAGAAAACATATGCAAACACCTGTCATGTCTTTTGCTTTCATGTTTACATTCGAAGGCATTAAATCAATCATAATGCTGGAGAAAAATTTGATAAGCACTTTCTGGAAATTTGCACATAATGTTTTCTGATTAATAAAGGATGAATGCTGACCAACTGGGTTTTGTTTGACAGATTCACAAGTAGAAAAAAGGAAGTGAAAAGAGGAACAAGGAAAAGGCGATCTCAGCACAGACCTTGACTCTTACAGGAAATGCTTGTCTTTTATGGATGTTTGCTGATAAGGTAATGTTATTAGTAGTAGCAGTTAGGACATTGAAAACATCTTCACTTGACTCAAGCTTTTTGAAAGCGTCGTCACCTGACGGAGTGGCCTGCTTAGAATCGGCAAGCCACAGGAGTTCTCAAAGCACGTACAGGGTCAGGAAGGCTGCTCCAGGGTTGACATTTTTATTTGGGTCTTTCCACTTCCCAGGCCTTCCAACTGAAGAGTCTTGGAGGTAGATACAGGGCAAATAAAGGTAGGACCACCACATTGCATCAAGGAACAGAGAAACAGGAATTCAGAAAGATCCCAGCTAGTTAATTTGAAAGCCAGAGATTAATGTCACAACTGGGGGGTGGGGGGGTAGGGATGATAAATTAAAAGGAGGAGGGAGAAAAAAAAAGTTTTTTTCTGGAGGAAATTAAAATGATGGCATCATGGCAATGGCTAACTTAATTAAAAAGAAAAACATATTCAAAGAATGAGGAAAATCCATCAAGCTGCAGAAACAAAATGCTATCCCTAATTGAATTTAACAATAGCATGATAAGATTCAAATGTAATTAAGAAAATGATAAAAAGGAAAGCAGAATTAAAAGGATGAAAGTACTTATCATTTTTATTATCTGTACAACTATTTTTTTTTAAATAACAAGAACAAATGGAGAATTGAAGACTCGGGAGAAACATATTGTAATCGTTTTCCTCATGGAATTGCAAAGACTGGAAAAAAGTTAGTTTTTAATATATCCAAACCCACATCTCTACCCCTCTGCACCTCACCAGTCACCTGCTTCACAAACGTTCTATCTAAGATGGGCCTTCCAGGCACTCTCTCCCCTCAGCCATTACCTGCCGGAGGTTGCGTGTCACTTTGACATCATGCCAGGCGTTGTCGTTGAACTTCCCATTCACTGGCTCCACAATGGCCTCAAAGGCCCCGGACCCCAGGTTAATGACCAAGGAGACCGCACCATCCTTCAGAGCCAGGTTGACATAGTCAGCCGACTTGCCCGTGTGCAGGATGAGCCCGTTGCGCTGCCAGGTCTTGAAGGAGAGGGTGATTTCATCACTGCTGCTCTGGATCGGGTTCTGAGACAGGTCATAGCACAGGTATTCTGAGCCTCGGAAAGTGGCCACATTCTCCTCTCGGGCTGTCGGAAACAAAAAGCAGAAAGCAGTCAATCCTTAACTGGCAGGTGTCGGATCTATGCAACCACCAAGGAGAACACAGCCCAAGAACACTAAACCCTGTCCTTGCACTGATACCAACTCAGCAACCGCCCTGGCTTCTACATGAAAATCAGCAAACCTAGCAGAGCATCTGGTGGGGGAGAAACTGTGTGTCAAAACAAGGGTAGAAGACAGGCAAGATGGTGCAAGGGGGCTTGCTGTCTTCCCTTCCAATCTTCTCAAAGAAACACCTAAAGAGAAATTTCATGCAAAGTAGTCAAGTGAGGCTTACATTGCTTTTGCTTCAGTGATGGCTTTTAAATGCTTGTAGAAGAGCTGGTTTAGAATAGATAATTAACTGTGCTGACAAAGGACTCTCTAGCTCTAGGTACTTTTTATTGACCAATAACTAAAAATCAATTACCCTGAAAGATTTGGCCCTGGCTTCCATCTATCAATAAACCCAGCTAACTTTGGTTTCTATGGTAAAATCCTGAGCCCAGTGAGTTGTGGCTGAGTTATTATATAGGAGGTTGAACATGAGAAGGGGACCAGGCAGTTGAGGAAAGGGGAAGAGAATGAAATTGTTAATATTCTTTAGCAAGACAGCAATACCACTCTTAGACTCAAGCAAAAGGAATTTCTGCTTGTTCGGGGATCTCCTTTTAGAGGGCCCTGGCTGGACATTTCCATGGCCACAACCCTCCACCAAAATTAGGGGTTCATAGATGGTACAGGTTCAAGGGAACCTGTACTCTCTTTTGAGATCACATTTCAGACACTGAGATCCTGTAATTCTCAGCCTCCAAATCCCCAAGCCTGTTTATATAGGCCTCTTCTCTGGCTTCATCTTTCTGTAGGTATACCAGGGTACCAACATCAATACCTCAAGGTTTATAAGGGGAGATGTGGGAGACTATTTGCAAGAGTGTGGATGGGGTTTGATCATGTAGGCTGGGTTATCCACATGCATTTTTTACTAGACCCCTTGTGATAAAGGACAGAGCTAAAGGTGGGAAGGGAAGGTGGGTAGCCAACTGACTGAGGAGCAAGAGGAGACTGATTCTCCTTGCAATGCTATTTCTTATAAGCAAAACTCTGAAGAATCCAAAAGTTCCCATTTCTGGAACCTGGTCTTCCAGGGAGTTACAAAAGTAAATTTGACAAAGTAAGAGAAAAAACAGAGAGGAGGAGATGTTGAGAGCCACAGCATACACAGCCACCAGTGCTCCACCTACAATCCCAGTAAGGAGGAACCCCCACAGGCTTCTCTCCACCTCCCACAATCCTCCTGCTCTTGAGGCCGATTGGCTGGGTCACGTGGGCGGAGCCAAAAAAGTCCCCCAATGAGCAGCTCCGTGGTCTGAAAGGGCAGGGAAACAGCCCAATGAGCATCACCGCAGAGGAGCCAATCAGCTAGATGTTGCTGGGGCCGCTGTGAGCCAATCATCAGCCGGCAGCTGGAAGTTTGCTGGGGACCCTTCGGCTGTGGCTCTCAACAAGGGATATGATTAATCATTTGTTTATTTGACTTATAATTTTGTTATACAGAACAGGAAGTACAATTTCCCTTCTTGCTGGTTAGCCTCACTTAGGTTCACTACTTCATACTAAGGTTGGTCAAAAGCTATCAAGAAGCACCTTGTTAATGGAAAAAAGAAATAGCAACAATAGAAGTCTATATATGCAGATTTCCATCTGCAAAGTGAGGTTGAAAGAATTCTATTTTCCCTGCCAGAACTACATTTCAGTACTATTAACCAAAGCCAAGTTCCCTCAGCTCAGATCCCTATCAACCATCACGGCCCTACATCAAATACTTAAGAAAAATAAAATACATATTTTCTCATCACAAAGTAAGAACTGCAATCACTCTTATACAACCACTCACTACATATTGTTAAATTAATCATGGTATCATGACACCATTAATACATGGACCTCAACTTCATACTCCAGAGGGTTAAAAAAGAAGATGAATTTCTTCTGCATGTTCCAGAGGATCTCAGTGGTACTTACCTGCATACTCTGTTTATACACACACATACACTGGCATAAGCAAAGGGGCCTATTTACCTCTAACTGACTGCAGTCTAGCTTCTCCATGTATTCAAGAACAAGTACTACTTAGCACCTAACTCATGTCTGATGTGTTTTATCAAAAATAGCACCCCCAATCATAAAGCAGAAATTCAACACAGTCTGCATATTTGAAATAGATCCATCTAATCCTCTACTACCCTGTCTATCATCGTGATCTCTCCTCTCATTTCTTAAGAAATGGCTTTGTTAAAATGCAATGGGACATCAGACCTGGAGCTGAACTAGAGTACATGACAAATTAATGCAGTTATCACAGCTAAGCTCTTTTCCTAGAGTCATGGACTTGCACAGAGTCTATGTGCATCCTTAATACTACAAAATGTATACTGGTGGTCATCTTCTATATATATCTCAGTTACACCTGTGTGCCTGCGCCCACTGAAGTAAATGCGCAAGGAGAGGAGTGCCTATGAAGAGAAGCTTACATTAATCATCGAGCCTCTTGAAAAGGGAAGTCTTGACACAAAACAGCAAGGCATCAGGAGATTATTTAATGTGCTATGTGATGCTTAATATTTTTCACATAATTAGAGCATGGGGTATGTCAAAATAATAAATTTTAGTGTTACAAGGGATTTTAAGGATTGTCTAATTTAATGCTTTTATTTTATTAAGGAAGAAATTGATGACTGGGAATGAGTTGCCCGAGATGACCCAGTTAGTTTGTGGTACTCCAGACTTGAAGCATCTCTGGACTTACATCTAAACAGCAGTTACAGGTCCCTCCACCATCACTCTGGATATTCCCTTGCTCCCATTCTACTTCTCCAAGGCTATGTGTGAATGATTCCACGGAGCCGTGGGCTTACAAACTATCTGAGAGCTTGGATAAATGAAGCCAGAAATAAATGCCTCTCTTCCTGTATAAATCACACTTCCTCACCATAAGAAATATTTCCCTTTCCCTCTGTGTTTAAAATAAAAGAACTTGTTTTATATGGAAGATTATAGGAAAAAATAAATGACATCAACAAAGAGGAGGATATCACAATAAATAAATAAGATATTAAAAAGAACAATGAAGAAAGGAAACTGTCTATGTAAATTACATGCATATTTATGCTAATATCCATGCAAATATACCAAAGAAAATTTTATGTAGCCAAGTGCCTTCCTTTGCAAGTATCTAATAGAAATAGCTACAACAGTTCACAGCCTTCTTAATCTCTCCATTCAATGATTCATTTTCTCAGTTTATCTGTTCCCTGGGCCAGAGATGACCAGGCATTTCCTACCAGGAGCTCTCCTTCCTTAGTTTTCTTAACAAATAATAAACAACTGAAAAGTCCTCTCTGATTCACATTTTAGATCAGCAAAATTATTTCCTTTGTAATTTCTGGGATAATTTCCTCCTGAGTATTAGGAAGAGAGACCCAGCAAGGCAGGACCCAGTCTCAGGAAATAAATAAAGGGCTACAAGGGAGAAAGAAGAAAGACCTTGAAGAAATTATTCTTTTGGACACTCACATCTGACATACTTTTTCTCCGAAGATCCCAACCTATCTCAATTTCCTTCAAGCAGCTGAGCCTCAGGCACTTTCTTATCACTTTGAAAACCATACTAAGTTGACAGTCAACATAACCAAAAGGGGAAAACCATATAATGACAGGTACACATTTCTAAACCCATTCAATTCTCCAAACCCTCCATTAGAAAAAAAAAATGTAATAGTGCCCCAAATCTATTTTTTTTAACATGGTGTTGAGACTGAAAAGGAGGTTGAAAAGACAATGCAGTCACCTTGTATGTATTCAGACTAAATAGCTAGAAAAGATGAATGCAGGGGATTATGTAACACAGTGCACAAGAGCTTAGCATACAGCTATGGCTTGGCAAGAGAGACAGAAGGCACTGACACAGCTAACTGATACTTAGCTTCCTTGAAATTAGATCACCCCAAAGTTTACAATCAATAGCATGTAAAAATAAGAACGCTATTCTCACTGCATGAGAAACAGAGCTCAACTCCATATAACAACAAATCATTTACCCATTATTTGTAAGTGTCCAATTGATTAAACAGTAGATGTAATCTAGATATGTATAATTCAGAGATTTTTAAATCAGTATGTATAAGATATGTAAAGTACTGATTTTTCAAATGGCTTGCTAATTGAAGTACTGATATATATGTAACATTAAGATATTTACTCAAATTTTTTTCTCCAATCTTCCCCCCAATAAACAGCCAACTACTTATTTATATAATAATAGCTGTATTTTTCTGAGAAGTTTCAAAGTAGAGTAAAATATCCAATGTAATATTTTCTTACTGTGTAATATAAAAAGTGTGGGCAGCTGATACCTGGGGGCTTGGTATTGTAAGGACCCAAACAATGTTTGAGATCAGGAAATTTGGATTTTATGTTGAAGGTTATGAAGAATCATTGCATAATTTTACTGAGAAGAATCCAAGATTATGTAATCCTTTAAAAACACACTTGAACCCCTTTTCTAGGATGCCTGGGATTGTTCAGCCTGAATGTTGATACAATTTCTGGAGTGAGGTTTGCATTTCACCGGGCAGAAATGGAAGCAAAAGATTCCTAACAGAAACAGCCTGAGGAAAGGAGAGGCAGAGATTCTGGCAAGCCAGAAACCACAGGGGGAATCCAAAGTGTGGATGCTTAAGATCAAGTACAAACAAGGAAAACCAAGGACCAGTGGCAAAAAGTGAAGGAAAAGGACACAGCATTAGACAAAAATGGCTCAAAATGAGAACATGTCAGGTCCGGCTATAAAAGCACTCTAGGGCCATTTGCAGACATTCACAGCTTTTTAATCATATCATATATTTTTAAATGCTTTCTTAATTATTATTGGTATTCTTTCAATACTCTGTGAGGTCAGTTTGTTGTAACCAATGTGAGAAAACAG